GTTGAAACATGTTGTTATATCCTCACGTGATTAGGGATCGATCAGGAATAAAAGGCTAGGCTCTTACAGAAAAGTCTCCAGGTATCAATAACTAAACTTACTCGTTTAATTTGAGCAACACGACACCGACTCGTAACTTCTGTCGGCGAGCGAGAGAGAGACCACCGCACCGCCTGGTGGCGAGGCGTACATCGAATCCACGGAAAACAAAAAGTATCGCAGGCTATCTATCCTGTATTCATCCGCCAGCAACGCGGCAGTTTAACTTATACTTAAAACGATCCTCTAACACCCTCCCCTCTAAGAGAAAACGCAACCTAACTAAGAAATTTCGCAAAGTAACATATATAAGGAATATTGCCTAATAAGCATAATTATCGAAACAAAAAAACCATTATAAAATTAGGCTTATTAATATCTCCTGTTACAACTGAAAACGATCAGGAGGTTTCCGGATGCGAGTCGACCTGCGCAATGGTATAATAGTTTGCGGAGGATCTTCTCTATCTCGTCCTGGTATCTGCGATGTTTGCGAGCCTCTTTCTGCTTGTTCGTCACCTTCATTTCTTGATGTCGGAACTTCAATTAATTCTTCAGCAGGTCCCTGGCTCAACACATGCTCTTTAATTTTGCTTTCAACTACCGGGGTATTTTGACCGATCTTACGCATTTGATCTACATGTCTACGCCAAATTTGACCGTTATCCAACTTTATTTCGAAATTGCACTCGCCTAATCTACTACTAATCCTACCAAATTTCCATTTCTTCATACCTATGTAATTTCTGCAGCTCACTCTTTCCCCCTCTTTAAAAAAACTATCAGAGAACGGAACTTTCTCTTTATGTTTTTCTGGGAAAATGAGTTGTAGTCGATTTCGAATTTGCCTCCCTAGAAACAATTCTGCCGGCGATTTCCCGGTTACTGAATGTGGCATTGTACGGTACCGTATTAACATTTCTTGTAGTTTTGTTTCTACGTTGACTCCTGTACTACACATGCGCTTTAGTGAATTTTTAAGCGTTTGAACAAACCTTTCGGCTTGTCCATTTGTCGCTGGGTGGTAAGGTGCTGTTAATTTTAATTTAACACCTCGCTTTTCTAAAAAGTTTTTGAACTCCTTAGCAATAAACGTTCTTCCATTATCCGATACTAAGTATTTCGGATATCCAAAAGTCGCAAAGATTTCATCTAACACTAATATCGTATTCGCTGTGGACATGTTCTT